GATTTCGAGAATCGAAAAAATGGCGAACATCGTAGGGCAGCTAAAACGAGGGATTTCGAGGCAACTCTCAACCGGATCGCTTCGCCGGACGCTTAGCCGTCAATTTACGCGACAATCATCACACGATCCTCGCCGGAACAATATGCGATTCAGTTTCGGTCGACAATCGTCTCTAGATCCGATTCGCCGAAATCCTGATGGTTCTGTCCGGCAACAGCTCGCCGTACCGGATAATCTGGACGCGACTATGCAGCTTCTATTCGTCGCTTGTAGAGGAGATGTTGAAGGTGTACAGGATCTGCTTGATGAAGGAATCGATGTTAATAGTATCGATCTTGATGGTCGTACTGCTCTACACATCGCTGCTTGTGAAGGTCATGTTGATGTTGTGAAGCTTCTTCTTACTAGGAAGGCTAATATCGATGCTCGTGATCGTTGGGGAAGCACGGTAATGTGATTTTTCTAGGAACCACGACCTAAATTTGAAGTTTCCACAATTGTTGGTTCTGTTTTGTGCTTTTTGATCTGAAATTTGGGTTTGTGTTGTGTGGATAGGCAGCTGCTGATGCTAAGTACTATGGTAACATGGATATTTACAACATTTTGAAAGCCAGAGGAGCTAAAGTTCCGGTATGCTTTTTCATGAATCCAGCTAAGTTCCTTTTTTTATATCAGAATGTGTTTTTGGTTACATTTTGCTTCTTGATTTTAGAGAACAAGTAGGACACCGATGGTTGTGGCGAATCCTCGTGAAGTTCCTGAATACGAGTTAAATCCACAAGAACTTCAAGTCCGGAAAGCTGATGGTATCTCAAAGGCAAGAGCTTTTTGCTTTACTTTCTCGTAATGAAATCTTTTAAGTTTTTCTGGTTAATGCTTTTTAACAAAATGCTACATGGCTTTTTTCACTTACCAGGGAATATATCAAGTGGCTAAATGGAATGGGACTAAGGTATCTGTAAAGATACTTGATAAGGATCTCTACAAGGATTTTGATACCATGTATGTTTACTCTTTTCTTCTATGAGTATCTTTCTAAGTTAGCAAACAGTTCAATAGGTGATTTTAAATTTCTTCTTGCCTTAAGGTATTATAAATTGTTCAAACCATTTGGTCTATTTTCTGGATTTACTTCATTTACGTTTGTTCTTGCGAGTTTTTTTTTAATCTGCCTTTTGTTATTTACCTGCAGAAATGCCTTCAAACACGAACTTACATTATTCGAGAAAGTCCGTCATCCCAATGTTGTACAATTTGTTGGAGCTGTTACTCAAAATGTCCCCATGATGATTGTGTCCGAGTATCATCCTAAAGTAAGCTTCTCCCTTGTTTTCACCTTACAAGATTTGTTACTGAAGCATTTTCTGGATATAATGTTGTCGGCTGCGTGGTAACTTTCAGGGTGACCTCGGGAGCTATCTTCAAAAGAAAGGACGCCTATCTCCGGCGAAAATTTTAAGATTTGCCTTTGATATAGCCAGGCATGTGCATTCTCTTCACAAGCTTGTACAATAAGACCACTCTTCATATGCAACTTTACAGTTCCATGCATGTCAATTCTTCTTCTTTTAACAATACTATTTTGGCTCTTCTCAGGGGAATGAATTATCTTCACGAGTGTAAACCAGAACCAGTGATCCACTGTGATCTAAAACCCAAGTAAGATAACTAAATAAAGAAGCATCCGCTCATGAACTTTTTTGAGTGCACATTTTTGGATCGATCCCCCGTTATCTAATTTTTGCAACTTTTGGTAAGGTGCCAGAAATATTATGCTCGATAATGGAGGACATTTGAAGGTGGCGGGATTTGGATTGATAAGTTTTGCAAAGTTATCACCTGATAAATCAAGAATCCTTAATCACGGGGTACATATAGATCCTTCAAGTAAGTTCTAAATGCTTTATTCCTTCTGCCTACCCAAAAGAAGCGTCCATTGTAATCTCATCTGTTAAATTTTAAAATCCCAACCCACGGGTTCACATTTGGGACTCGTGACAGATTTATTGCACAAAATTGTGGGCATATGATATTCATCAAACCTCTAGATTACTGAAAATACAAGTATAGAAACTGTGTCTAGTACAAACAGATGATTCTGTTGATTGTTTGCAGATTACTGTGTGGCACCTGAGGTTTACAAGGATGAAACATTTGACAGAAGTGTGGATTCATACTCTTTTGGTGTCGTTCTATATGAGGTACCTATTAGTTACCCTTTATATTGCTAATAATGCTCCTCTAACATTTCTTTATGGCTGTATCTGGTCAGGGTTCTCTAGAAGTAGTTCATTCTGTTTCTAAATCATTCTACCTGATATGTTTTTTCTAGCGTCGAGGCCAATAAGCTTCTCTAAGAAATCTCATTGAAGCTATCTTTTGATTGAGTTTTATCTTAAAATTCTTCAGATGATTGAAGGAGTGCAACCTTTCCATCCTAAACCCCCAGAAGAAGCAGTGAAGCTACTGTGTTTGGAAGGAAGAAGACCGTCGTTTAAGGCCAAGTCCAAAAGTTGTCCCCCAGAGATGAGAGAGTAAGTGTAACTCTATAACATAAATTGCAGAACTTGTTTTTACGCTAAAGTTATAGTAACACCATTTGCTTAGTCCTCTGTCCTTTTACCTCTTTCAGCTTATTGTTTCAATTGTTATTTTAAATAGATTGATAGAGGAGTGCTGGGATCAAGAAGCTTTAGTTAGGCCAACATTTTCTGAGATCATAGTTCGATTGGACAAGATCTTTGTAAGCTGCTCAAAACAGGGATGGTGGAAAGATACATTCAAGTTTCCTTGGTAAAAAGCTAACAACTCTTTCTCATTTTTGTTTTTTTATTTCTAGTTTCACTTTAGTTAAGTCGAATTCTTCTAAACATCGTACACGGACTAGAGCCAAACCCTCACATATACCATGAGTTTGTTTCTCAACCAAATGGGATGATTTCGCAGGATCTAGTACATAAGGACCGGGAGAGGTTTGCTTCAGAATCACGAGGAACTCAGCAATTCAAGCGCTCTCTTCTCATATTTACAATAAAATCGGTAC